GACCCCATCTCTACCAAAAAATGGAAAGAAATTAATTGGACAGCTAAAAATATATGTAGAAAAAATTAGCCGGGCATGGTGGCACATGCCTGTGGTCCCAGCTACTCAGGAGGCTGAGACAGTAGGATTGCTTGAGCCCAGGAGTTTGAGGTTGCTGTGAGCTAGGCTGACGCCACGGCACTCGCCCCAGGCAAGGGAGTGAGACTCTGCCTCAAGAAAAAAAAAAAGAAGGAAAAGCCAAGCAAAAAGGGTTTTAATAAAATAAAATAGCTTTTTAAGAAGGATCCTAGGCCACACAGTGGCTTATGCCTATAATCCTAGCACTTTGGGAGGCTGAGGTGGGAGGATTGCTTGAGGCCAGGAGTTCGAGACCAGCCTGAGCAAGAGCAAAACCTCGTCTTTACAAAAAATGAAAAAGAAGAATTAGCCAGGTGTGGTGGCGCACACCTGTACTCGCAGCTACTCGGGAGGCTGAGGCAGGAGGATTGCTTGAGCCCAGGAGTTTGAGGTTGCAGTGAGCTACAATAACGCCACTGTATTCTAGCCCAGGAGACAGAGCAAGACCCTCAGAAAAAAAGTATTCCAATTACATAAGAAAAGAAACAGCAATTAGTATTTGACTAAAAAGGCATTTTCAAAACTCTTAAAAGGGTATGTAAGAAACTAACGCCAATTATTACTTGGTGGCGGGGCAGTTTCTGGTCAGATGAGAGACAAGGATGGGAAATTATATTGTATACTTTCATAGTTTGGGGATCATGTGATTATTATTCAGAATATGAAATATATTTGATGCAAAGTGGGATAAAAAGAAGCCCTACTCTGGGAAGTGGCCCTGCATCACCCAGCTCATTAACCTTGACCTCATCTACTCCTTCCTTGCATGGTCACTTGCCGTAGCTCCCACACTAACCTTCTCCCTGCCTCTCCTCAAAAGGCAGGGCGTGCTCCTGTCTCAGGGTCACTACACTTGCTCCTAAATCCCAGAATTCTTTTACCCCACATATTCACATGTCTTTGTTTAAAGAATATCTTCTCAGGAAGGCATCTCCTGATCATGCTTATTTTAAAAATAGCTAACTCTCCGCCTACCAATCTCCTTATACTCTCCCTTCCCTTCTTTATGCTCCATAGCTTTTCCATTTGACATATGTCTTATGCTGTGTGTTTCCCTACCTCTTTAGAATGTAAACTCCATAAGGGCAGAGGTGGTTCACTGCTATGACCCCAGCACCTAAAAAGCACCTGGCATTTGAATGAATGCAAGCAAAAGTCCTTTTAAAAACATTTCACATTAGTATAACACAGAATATTAATTGCAAGACAATACTCAAAAGTCAGAAAGAATGACATCTAACTAAATAACTTCTAAATCATAACATAAACTGACATAAGATAAGCAAACTGGTAGAAACCTTAAACAACACTTTTTTTTTTTTTTTTTTTGAGACAGTCTTGCTCTGTTGTCATGGCATCAGCCTAGTTCACGGCAACCTCAAACTCCTGGGCTCAAGTGATCCTCCTGCTTCAGCTTCCCAAGTAGCTGGGACTACAGGCATATGCCACCACACCCAGCTAATTTTTCTATTTTTAGTAGAGACGGGGTCTCGCTCTTGTTCAGCCTGGTCTCAAACTCCCAACCTCAAGCAATCCTCCCACCTAGGCCTGCCACAGTGCTAGGATTACAGGCGTGAGCCACCGTGCCCGGTCTAAACAACTCTTATAAAAAGCCCATTAGATAATACCACTGAACTGCACACTTAAAAATGCCTAAGATGATAAATTTTATGTTATGTGTATTTTACCACAGATTTTGTGAAAAAGGCCCTTTGGACTACAACATGGATGAACCTTGAAAACACTATGCAAAGTGAAATAAGCCAGACACAAAGGACAAATATTATACAATTCCATGTATGATGTACCCAAAATAGCCAAATTCATAGAGACAGAAAGTAGAATAGTGGTTACCAGCGGCTGTTGGGGAGGAAGGGTGCAGGAATGCGGATTTATCATTTAACGGGCAAAGAGTTTTAGTGTGAGATGATGAAAAAGTTCTGAAGATGGTTAGTGGTGATGGTTGCTATGAATGTACTTAACATCACTAAATAGTATACTTAACAAAAGTTAAAATGGTAAGTTTTATAATATGTACATACATTTCACCACTATTTTCTTAAGCCCATTAGAAAAATGGGGAAATGAAAACAGATAACGCAGAAAATATAAATGGCCACGCACATAAAAAGTTTGGTTTTAGATTCACTTTTTACCTAGTCTAGGGAGATTTAAAAAGACTTATAATAGCCAATGTGGTAAGAGTATGGAAAAATATGCAGTGAGGCTGCATCCCAACTGCATATTGTCAGTGACCTTTTAAAAAATCTCACAGGAAGGAGCCAACAGAGCTGAATATCCTCATCTCTAAGTCTAGCCAGTTTTTACCCCAATGTGGAAAAAGGCTGCTGTTTCTTTAGATTGAACATCCAGTTGAATAGCTCATTGTGTTAATGAGCACGTGCCCCAAGACTAACATCCTATTCAATGTGGGAACTGTTTTGCTTAGGCACAAGGTAAGGTGATCAATTAAAAAAAAAAAAACAGGCCGGGCGCAGTAGCTCACGTCTGTAATCCTAGCACTCTGGGAGACCGAGGCGGGTGGATCACTCAAGGTCAGGAGTTCGAGACCAGCCTGAGCAAGAGCAAGACCCCATCTCTACCAAAAATAGAAAAATTAATTGGACAGCTAAAAATATATAGAAAAAATTAGCCGGGCATGGTGGCACATGCCTGTAGTCCCAGCTACTAGGAGGCTGAGGCAGTAGGATCGCTTGAGCCCAGAAGTTTGAGGCTGCTGTTAGCTAGGCTGACGCCACGGCACTCTAGCCAGGGCAACAGAGCCAGACTCTGTCTCAAAAAAAAAAAGAAAAAAAAAAGTTGGCCACATCTGTACAAAACATGTAGACTTTTTTCTTGTCATTATTCTCTAATATAGTATAACAACCATTTACATAGCATTTACATTATATAAGTAACCTAGAAATGATTTAAAGTATGAAAAGATGTACACAGGATATATGCAAATATTATCTGCATTTTATATAAGGGACTTGAGCATCCTTGGATTTTGGTATTCACGTGGGGGGAGGCAGTCCTGAAACCAATCCCCCATGGATACTGAGGGACAACTGTAATTTGCAAGACATGCTATCTGAAAGAATATAAAAAGTACTCTACTAAGAACAAGTCCCTCTCTTCTTTTTAAGCCAGTCAAATTTGGAGTGGGAGGTTGTACAGAACAGTTCTCTTAAAATCACATTTAAAATCGGTGGTTCCTAACAATGGAGTCCATGAACCACCTGAAACTTTATACAGTTGTATGAGAGGAGAAACAGAAATACCATATATAAAGTTCTTAATTAGGAGGAAAAGTGATTTAATAGTGAGGCTGAATGACCGGGCGCCATCTGGTAAAAAAAAGATGAATCCTTATTCTTACTCTTTATACCAAATTCTCTAGATAGGACTATATTTTAAAAAGTGAAACAATGGAAAATATTACAAGTAATAGAATCTCAATCTATTCAAATCTGAAGCCCAAAGATGTGTATATACACTCAACAGATCATGCAGCCACTGACAAAAACAAGGCAGGCAGCTTCATACATATTGGTATGATCTCAAGATTAAAGTTTTTAAAAGCTAGATATGAAAAGATAAATGATATAAAAAGATAAATGTTATATGAATAAAAATGGGAATATGCTTATATATATTTTAAATATCCCCAAAAGGATACATAAGGAACTATTAACAGTATCACGTATGAGGAAGTTAAAGAAAAACATAGGTTGAGGGACACAGTTATTGGGGCTGACAATAATCCAGACACAAGATGGTAGCTTGGACAAGGTTTGGTCCTGAGGAGCAAAAAGGAAATGGTCTAATTCTGTATGCATTTTTAAAAATTTTAAAATTTAAAATAAAATTTAAAATTTTATTTTTTGTAGAAACAGGGTCTCACTATGTTGCTCAGGCTGGTCTCAAACTCCCAGCCCCAAGCAATCCTCCAGCCTTAGCCTCCAAAAGCGCTGGGATTACAAGCATGAGCCACCACACCTCGCCTTCTGTATGTATTTTGAAGGTAGAGCCAAAAGAATTTGCCAACAGAAAGGAAGCAGAATGTGAGAGCAGCCAGGGAAGACACAGGTTTATGGCATGAGAAGGATGGAGTTGCCATCAACTGATAAGGGGAAGGCTATCAGAGGAACTGTTATTTTTAGCAAGACAGGATCAAGAGCTCTAGTTCATAAATTTAAAGTATTGGAGAGCTAAGGGCAGTTGTATATGTAAGTCTAGAAATCAACAGAAGAGATGAGACCTGTAGGTAAGTTTAGCAATTGGCATATAGATGGTTCATAATGCTATGAGACTCTGACCAACCGAACAAGTTGCGTATACATACAGTGCAGTGGTCCAAGGATTAAGCTCTGGGGAACTGCAGGCTTTAAAGATGCGAAGACAGAGGCTGTGAGTGAGGTAAGTAGTAAGTGAAGTCTCTCGGAAGCCAAGGGAAGGAGGGAGTAATCAAGCATCAAACGCTGTCAAACATGTCTAGATGAGAACTGAAAACAGGCAATGCGGTTGAGCACATGGAGTTCACTAAGCTGAACTGGCAGTTCCAGTGGAGTAGTGAAGGCAAGAGCAGATTCAGAAAGAATTCAACTCATGTTATCCTGAATGGATGGATTCACTCATCTTCCCTCTCCTCCTTGCCACCAATGCCTCTCCCTGATGGCACCTCAAGTTAGAGTAAAACTATAAAATAACAATGTCTCATGTGAAGTTCTATTTGGATCAAGTCACTTATGTTTTTTCTAAACAAGTATGAAATATTTTTAATCAGGCAAGAAAAAGAAGTTATACACTGTAAAATGTATTTGGGAAATTAAGATATTAGAGGAAACATAACACAGAAGACCAGCTTGTTTAGACCCAAATGTTATTTGGAAGAAAGCTTAAGTCACATTAAAAATAAGGCCTTTATGGTTGTAAAGGATCACTTCTCTACCATTTAAACCAAGGACATGTACTTTTTTTGCTTTTAAACTAAATGCCCGTGCTTGCGTCAGCAGCACATATACTAAAATTGGAACGATACAGAGAGATTAGCATGGCCCTTGTGCAAGGATGACACGAAAAAAGAAAAAAAAATTAAAATAAACAAACTAAATGCCCAAGTAGCAACAGTCACTCCTTTAAGCTATTAGGTTTCAAGGACTTCTAAAGGACACCTGTATCCTGATACCACAACCTGGACCTGAATTAATCAGCCAATCCACATGTACACATGCCAAGATTCTCACTTCTGATTGTCCTGTGATTACAAGGTTTCATTGTTGTTTTTCTAAGTCATATGTTGTTTTTCTAAGTCACCCATATCCAGAGATGGAAAACAAGAAAAGCAGTAAGTTGCCAAATTGAAAAGACTCCAGAGTCCTCAAGAGGCTAGAATCTTACATAAGCCACTGGTACTCAAAACCACTCACCTCCAATCCCCAAAAGCTATGGAGGGAAAGAATCACTTAACTGTTGCTATCAGTCTACTTGCTTTAGTGATCAAAGTTGGTGTGGAAAACCTTCAAGGAGACTTATGTTCTTAAAATTGGCAAATGCTTCTTTGAAGCAACACTGGACAGATTAGTGTGTCAGACACCAAGATAAAGAACGCTTTCATTGCCAAAGCAAGTATTTAGGCAGCAATTTTGGTATCAGTTTCTACATCTTCTAAACAAAGCCTTACTCACCTGCCTTTTAGGGACACTTGGATTGCTTTCACACTCTTTATTAGTGACCATAGCATACTTCTTCATTCAACAGGTACTTGATGAACAGTGACTGTGGGATGTACCAAGGGGTTTACAACTTAATAGAAGTGATCTACGTATGTAAGTTACCAGGATACAGGACTGTAAGTGCCACGTGATTGGCACCAATTACCAAGAATTGTATATTCAGCTTTTATGAGAAAACAGAAGTCATCCACTTAGAAAACAGAAGACACACCCTCTGCAATTCAGCTTCCGCCTCTACACCATACCTAAATACATGCTGCTGAAAGTCCTCTAACTTATTAACGATGAAATCTTAAGTGACCAGTCTACAGTGTATGAATCTGGCAATCACTCTAGTCACCTAGAAATGATCCCTTTTCCCTTGGCTTCCACTGATTCTCCACTTCTAATTTCTAAACTCTTAACACTCCGGCCCCACCCCAACACCATCTTCTTCCATAGAGTTATATACTCCCTTAACTCAACATGAGGTAAGGTTTTTTTGTTTTTTTTTTTTTTTATCTCTAGTCATCTATAATTCAGGGGCCAAGATTTACATGCTCAATTGCCTGGTAGATTGCTACACAGATCTTTTGAAGGAATCTCAAACACAGTTCAAATTCAAAGTCATTTTCTTCTCAAACCCACTTTCAGCTCTACCAACTATAGTATCACAATTCCAACCCACCGGAACTAGAAACCTAAATTTTACTTTTCCCTAATACACCCTATCTACTTTACCTAGGAATGATATCCCCAAACGTCCTAATTTTACTTAGATTTAAAATATCACCTTCCTAGTACTACATACTGTAGTCTCTCCAAAAGCCTGAACACCAACCTAGATGTTCCAAGAGCACCACTTGGCAAACAACTTTATTATTAATGCGCTAAATACACCATGTGACAGTTTGTCTTGTTTTGTGTCTGGCTCCCCTCCTAGTTTACAAATTCTTCAACAGCAAAGACCATGTCTAACTCACCTTCTTTTCACCAGCACACAGCTAGTGCTTAGCACATAACCCTTCCCTTCATTTAAATATTTATAAGCTGCAGATCTTCCCTACATAAAAACTTCTGACATTTGGCCAGGTGCAGTGGCTCACGCCTGTAATCCTAACCCTCTGGGAGGCCAAAGAGGGAGGATCGCTTGAGTTCAGGAGTTCAAGACCAACCTGAGCAAGACTCCATCTCTACTAAAATAGAAAAATTAGCCAGGCGTTGTGGCATGGGCCTACAGTCCCAGTTACTCCGGAGGCTGAAGCAGGAGAATCCCGAGCCCAGGAGTTTGAGGTTGCAGTGAGCTACGATAATGCCACTGTACTCTACCCAGGGCGACAGAGTAAGACTCTGTCTCAAAAACAAAAAAACAAAAAACACACAAACTTCTGACATTTAAGTACCAAAGAACACTCTTAGTTTTTTTTCCCCCCATCAATTCTAGACATTGATTTGTACCAACCCACTGGTAATACTAAGAGATCCACATTAACTTGTAAAAGTTTCAAAGTTTCAAGGCCTGTTTTTTTCCCTCATTTTGTTGTGCTGCACATATACTTTGCTACAGTTTCAGAGGAATGACAAAGTAGACAAAAGAGAAAGCTTGTTTAAAAAAAAACAACAAAAAAAACCTACACAGCCATCTACAGAGTTTACTCCCTGCCCTCAAAGTGCTCTATTTAGCTACCATATAGGAAGTTCTCTCTTTTCCAAAGGCTTTAGTTTTTGTCATTATAACTTGTGAATCCAAATATACTTGAAACAGAAATGGACCACTGTCTGAGGCTTAGAAATCAATATTTGCTAATTTATCGTCTTATCCATTTAATAAGGGAAAAAACCTCACTAATTCAGACAACAAAGAAAAAAATGGCCTGTATCAGAACAATGCAGATTATACTTTAAAGACAGAAAAAAGGAAATTTTATCCCTTCATACTCTGGAATACCTCATAACAGATTGCTGCTCACATAAATTTGATATTCACAAATTATCTCGAATTACACATTTCTTCCCATCCAGGTTTTCTAATAAACTTACCTTCCAACATGGTCTTGATAGTCACAGACTGTTTGGCAATTTCCACATCAACTTCAAATATCTCTCCATCAGAACTCTGCAACTTAATTGAAGGCATCTAAAAAAGGTATATTGAATGCAAAATTTAACAGATATTAGTTCTATGTGACATTTCATCAACTATAGTATGTCAGAAGCCTCTAACTTATTAACCATAAAATCCCAACGACCTATAGTACATAACCCTACAAAACACTGTTGTAAGTAGTTATTCACAGGTTAGCGTACAGGCATTTCTACAAAATTTTTTTCAAAGTGTAACTACAAGGAATAGAAGCTTTTAAGGTCTGCCCCACTGAACTCACTATTGGTATAAATTTAAGAGTTACAGTCTATACTTTTGATGCAAAATATGTCTAAAATCAAACAAACTTATTTGCTTTTTGTCTGCCTTTTGTCTCCCAGTAAATACAGACTACTCCATTTGAATAGTTAATTGCCATAATTAACCACCTGCAAACCTGAGGCAGGTCAACCCAACATAAATAAAGCTACCATACAAGATCGTAATTTCCCCACAGCGAGACCCTTCCAGTGAAAAATTAGTTCAGATCCAAAGAGTAGATCAGGATATGCTCATTTGTGTCTGAACCAATGCAAGACCACATATCAAGAGAATAAAATGACTTAAACATAAGTATGTCAACAAAATTCCCTAAACCTACTAAGGAGCTTAAATTTCGAATTCCTTTTTATCTTTCATAACTGTCCAGGTGTACAACTTGGAGATCTTCTGGCAAAATCTCCATAATAACCTATTATTTGCTCCAAAAATATATTAACTCAGATTAATTATGAGTCATTAGGAAAAAGACACCTCTTATGTAAAAGTTAATTAAGCAAATAACTTCAAAAGACTTGAGTTCTAGCAAGGAAAAAAAAAAAAGCTTTTGAAAGTTGTAAGCCAGCCATCTCTTATTATCTTCAGATTCTTTAAAAAAGAAAACATACAAAATAAAAACATAAGGGGGGTGGGAGGGAAGCAACAATACCTATCAAGATTAATTCAAAACCTCATGAAGTTCATATGTAGCTTTTAAATGGTCCATGCCTCTGAGGTATTCATAATCCTGTGACATCACTACTTATAACTTAAAGCATCTCTGAAGCCTTCTAGGTGTGTTGTATTAAAAATTCTGTCAATTTCCAAAAAAGTGTAGAATTTGGCATTTCAAACATACATTGCACCTGTTTTAGGTTCAGAGAGGATCTTAAGATCCACTCCGTAAGTTAAAATACCCATTCGGCTTTTCTGAGACAATTGTCCCCGACCCCCTAAGCAGACGAGCTGGTAGAAGAGAGCAAAAAAGTAAAGCATGTTTTAACCCAGCCACTGAAATATCCTGCTCTCACTCATCCATAGTTGGAGAGAATCAGATTTCACTTTCAGTTCACAAACATGTCTGCTTCTCCATGTTGCTCGGTGCTTGCCAATAACGCAGTTGTCCTGCTCAGTGGAGAAAGGCCCAGAGGACCCTCCCTGTGACAAGGCAACAACAAAGGGTATCCCCTAAAGAAAATATTTTAACAGTGAGCCCAATTTTTAATTACACAACATTTAATGTTCTTTTTCTATTACACAGTACTGGAATGAACAGGACAGAATCACAAGTCTAACAATGCAGTTGATAAAATTAAAGCAAGACGACCATTTCCTATTTCTTTCAAATAACTCATGATAAACAGCAAGATGTGCTTAGTCATATTCAAATTCGTCTATTAGGTTACCCCTATGGGAGCTGAGATCTCCTTACGTAGCAGGAAGGCAATGGGTTAACCCGTAACTGGATGCACTTTGCAATCCTAGACTTAAAGAACCCTTAGTGATACTAGAATTACGTGTAAAACGTTTAAGTGATAATAGATGAAATTTCAAATGGACATGCTTTAGGCTCCTGTACTTGTAAATTAAATAACCCTCCAGGGCTGGCATGAAATGGGTTCCATCGCATCATAAAGGAATAAAAAATCCTGCATTTTAAGTGACCCGAAATTCTGACACCTCTTTTTAGGCTGCACAGTGGAGGAGACTGCATTGTTCTATGGCACAGATAACATTCTACGGTGACGCTCTGATGAAATATGCATGCCCCCAAAACCCAAACCTGAAGTTTCCACTAAAAAATGAACCAAAGTAGGTGAATGTCCTGCCCCTTTAAAAGCCAGACACCTGAAGTTTGACACAGACAGGGCTGCTAGAAGTCACACCGCGATGACGAGGGTATCTGCTATCACAATCGTTATTTCAGCGACTCCAAGCTGGGGCAAAATAACGCAGAGACACGTTTAGGAGGAGCAGGCGACCACCTGCAGAGACCCGCACCCGCAGACCCGGCCAGGACTGGTGGCCGGCGACGCCAGACACGGGGGGGAGAAAGGATGGGAGCCAAGACTCCGGCGGTCACGGGCCACCATGGCCACTCTCCCTCCCGACGACAACAAACGCCGAAACGGACACAGGCCCACGCTCACGACAGCCAAGGGACCCCCCATTCAAAGCTCCACCACCCCCCGCCCCGGTCCCGCCGGCAGGCTTAACGCCAAGGGAGGCCCGGGCCGCGGCCTTGCCGCCGAGCTCCGCGCCGGCTGACGCCCGCCCGGCGCAGGGAAGGCCCAACGCGGGGTTCGGCTCACACTCCCGGGGCGCCGTGAGGACGCGCGGGCAGAAGAGGCCTCACGGGTCGGGGGCGGAGTGGGTGACCCGGTGCCTCCCGGAGAACGCGGTCGGCAACGGGTTCCACCGGGCCTGAGGGAAGACCAGGCCCAGCTGCCGCCCGCCGCCGCGGGCCCAAACCGCAGCAGCGCCGCCACCCAGCCCTCCATCCGAGCGCCGCAGCCCCTCGCGGCTCCGTGGGCGGCTACTCACGGTGTTCGGTCTCAAAGGACTGACGGCCGGAGGCTGACGAGAGCCGGGCGGCGTCCGCACAATAAGAGGAACGCGGAGGACGAGGCCACTACGGCGGCGCGGCGCGGCGTCGGCCTTTATAGGAGCGGGCGCGGGCGCCGAGGACCCCGGGGCCCGCGTCGTCACACAGCTGGCCGGGCTGGCCGCCGAGATCGCCTGATGGCAGGCCGCGGACGGCGGGGCGGGCCCAGGGCGCCGGCGGGAGCGGCCGGCCAGGGGAGGGGCTTTCGCCTCACCGCCACCCTTGAAAGCGCCGCTCCTTCTCCTCAAAGCGGGCGCCGGGCGCCGGCTGGGGTGCCTCCGTGGCCTGGAAAGGTTTTTCAGGCAGGGGCTGTCCTAGGCTGAGTGAAAGACCCCAGTCTGGAAAGCCTGGAAACAACAAAACGTGGGCTGGGGGTGTGTTTTTCACGGAGCTGGCGGCGCCCGGCGTGTCCTCAGTCCCCGCGATAACCCCATGGGGAGAAGTATTTAGATTTTCTGCCCCTTTACAGTGAGGGACCGAGTTCAGGACGGCTAAGTGGCACAGGTTTTGGACCGTACTCCACCTTTGGGTGCTCTTAAACCTTATTTCCTCCACCGGCTTCTGAGGAGGGGACCCCACATAGCCGCTGTTGCCGGGAAACCGCGTCCAGGGAGCAGGCTCCCCCTAGCAGGAAGTACCCGCTCCTTCGGCGAACACCACCGGGGCCTGCGTGTGGGGCGCAGCGCTGGGGGTGTGCGGTGACCGGGCGGCCAGGGCCTGGCCCGGACAGAACCCCGGAGCGCGGGACGTCGGCGGGAGGACGCCAACTCCAAGGGAAAGGGACGCGTCCCCAAGCCCCCGGCCTCGCACTGCTCCCTGGAGACTCGGGCGCCAGGCTCGCCTGACCAGCACGCACGTGATGGCCCTGCTGACACCGGGAGGACAAAAGATGCTTCCACACGGGGCCCGCTGCGGAAACCCGAGATCCGCAGCTCCTCCGGGATGGGACTGGGCAGGGAGGCCAGGTAGCTCCTTGGGTTACCAGGTCTTTGTCCACAAGCTGCGGTATCCGGTGTCTGCCAGGTGCCACAGCTGATGACAGAAGGTGAAAGGCCTGCAGCTCTCACGCTTCTCCGCAGCACAGCCCTGCCGCCGCAGCTCCGGCTGCAGGCCCCCCAGGCCAGGCCAGCGCGAGCCCCTTGGCTCCCTGGCCTGTGGCACTCATGGTGGCACCTTATAAACTCGCTGAGCATCCCAGGTGGGACTGTGCGGGGCCAGGTCGCACAGCTGGCCCCAGGGCCCAGCACAGGGCCTGGCGTAGAGTAGGGATGCGTTTTTCCATATAGGTGTGCGAAGTCCAATATCAGAATCACCAAGAGGTGCTTGTTTTAAAAATGGGAGATGTCGGCCGGGCATGGTGGCGCATGCCTGTAGTCCCAGCTACTGGGGAGGCTGAGGCAGGAGGATCGCTTGAGCCCAGGAGTTTGAGGTTGCTGTGAGCGAGGCTGACGCCATGGCACTCTATCCTGGGCAACACGGTGAGACTCTGTCTCAAAAAAAAAAAAAAAAAAAAAGGGAGATGTCATTTACTTGTGTATGCTGTTGTGCGTGGCATAGTTAGATTATCTCAGGAAAGATACACAAGAAATAGGTTGTTTCGGGGCAAGAGAACTAGGTGGCTGGGGAGCAGGGGTTGGCATGATTTTTCACTTTATAAGCTTTTCTACTTTTTGGATATCAATCCACGTGAATGTATTACATATTCAAAGTTTTCTTATTTCAATGGTGGGTGGTGGCTCACCCTGTAATCCTAGCACTCTGGGAGCCTGAGGTAGGAGGATCACTTGAGCTAGGAGTTCAAGACCAGCCTGAGCAAAAGTGAGACCCCGTCTCTACTAAAAATAGAAAAATTAGTCGGGTGTGGTGGCACATGCCTGTAGTCCCAGATACTCAGGAGGCTGAGGCGGGAGGATCACTTGAGCCCAGGAGTTGGAGGTTGCAGTGAGCTACAATGATGCCACTGCATGCTACCCGGGGCGACAGAGCAAGATTCTGTCTCAAAAAAAAAGAAAAAACTGGCTCAAGTCAAGAAAAATGCAGATTCCTGGGTCCACTCTCTATCTAATGAATCAAACTCCCTGGGGGCAGATTTTTCTGCCCTTTACACAAGTTCTCTAGCTGGCTCAGCTCCACACTTTCTGGATCCACCCTACCTCCCGCAAACACCTCCACTCGGGAGAGCCAAGGTAGCGGCAGGACTGTAGGGCACGCTGGGAATGACGCATCCCCGCTCATTTATCCTCAGCCACAGCCCAGGTGGGAAAGGGCTGGTCCCCACAGTTCCTTGGCGTGTCTGGATATGGGTGTGGGTGTGAGGGGAGGCTGGCGCATCCAGGGCTGGCCCTGAGGAGACTGGGGCCTCACCCTTACTTCGGTAACTCCGCACGCCACATAATCACAGCCCCTTGTTCTACAGAGGAAGGAAACAAATCCAAAAAGGGACTTTTCCAGTGTCACACGGCCACTGAAGAGCAGGGCTGAGGCTCCGGCCCCAGCCATGTTTTTGCCATCGTGGCCCGGATAGTGAATCTTAGCCCCATCCCTCAAATGCCAGGAACGTTCTCTATTTTACAACTATTCCCAGCATGCTACATGCAGGGAAGAACTGAAGTCCTTGAATTCAAGTAGTGCAGATGGGAAAATCCAGTTTTTAGGGTGAATTCATTTCCGGATGATCTCCCTTTTAAGTCTTCACTGGAGTCTCCACTGCCGTAAACCACTCACAGGAGGTTCCCGTGAGGAGCAGCCCTCTCAGTGCATCTGGAACGGGACTTTGCAGCTCAGAATTCGGTTCACGCTCCCTTTCTCGAGCACCCACCCACGGGGCAGACTCTGGACTCTGGACCTGTGTTCCATCCCGCGGGACAGCACATGAGCCAGGAAGTAATTCAGTTCACAAGGTCAACGGTCTCCTGGCCGCATCCTGCTCGTGCGTCAACTCAGTCTTGTTCTCCTGATAGAGTCGTAAGCGTAGCCACTCTGGAGTCAGACTCTGGCCTCTGTCATGTGACCTTGGGTGAGTCACTTCACCTCTCTGAGCCTGTTGAAAGAGCTGGAAAGAAAGTATGTTGATGCTAGAGCCAACTTTCCAAAAGGCTTGGGGTGGGAGAAGAATTGAGCCAGAGCGGAGAACGCTGCAGTTAGCTACCAGCGTGGGTCTCTGGAAAGGGGCTCTCCCCCACCCCTCCATCCCCTCAACCTAGGGACAGGGAGAGATTAGGAGCCCCATATGGGTTTGGGAGAGAGGGGAGAATCTCTGCCTTGGTCTCTGGGTAGGGTCCAGATAATCCCCCATGACGAGAACGCGTGGTGGCGGTCAAACAGAAATGGCGGCTGCGTGTGCTGAGGCGGGTGGACCTGGGCGCACCTCGGGCCTGTGCCCAACGTGTTGGGATCCAAAGGAGCATCAGAGCATGTCCTGAGGCCCTAGCGCAGCATGGAAGTTGCTAAAAGAAGCGGGGCACGGGGCCAGGCAGGGCCTTCTGGGATGTAATAAAGGGAGCACTGAAGCAGATGAACCTAGACAATCCAGGCCAGAGACGCGGGCGTAAATGCAGGCATCTGTGGGCACAGAAGAAACCAATGATGGCAACGCACAACTGGCAGGGAGTGAGGTCTGTCTGCCTCCCCGAGCAGTAGAGGAAGACGCTGATGACCAGGGACCAGACAGCCTTCAGCCCCCTCACCTCCCACTCCGCGCCATGACCACGTAAGCCCTGCGGAACGTAACTGCGATGCTGGATGGGAGGAGGCGGGCAGAACCCTCCACTTGACTGAGTGTCCCCCGGAATGACTGAGTGATCACCTACTTGACTGGATTCTCCAGGAAGTGACCAGATCATTTCCGCCTTCAAATGGAAGTAAGAGCTGTAGAAAGGAATTAGGAAAATAAGAGAGCTACCATTTTGGGCACACACAAGTGTTCTGACTTTAAAATTTCGTACAGCCACAGGTGCACAGGAATCACGCACACCTGTTGTTGCCCACGTGCTGCTAACATCCTGTGTGATCCGGGCTGAGTGGCTTCCCCTCGCTGAGCCTCAGTCTCCTTGTCTGTAAAGTGGGACTTATAGCAATACTGAAACATCATAGGATTTTTGTGAAAATTAATGATTTTAGTCACCAGAATGGCCAAACTTAAAAAAATGACAGGCCAGGTGTGGTGGCTTACAACTGTAATCCTAACACTCTGGGAGGCCAAGGCGGGAGGATTGCTTGAGGTCAGCAGTTCAAGACTAGCCTGAGCAAGAGTGAGATCCCTGTCTCTACAAAAATAAAAAAAAAGAAAGAAAAAAGAAAAGAAAGAGAGAAAAATTAGCTGGGTGGTAGTGCACACCTGTAGTCCCAGCTACTCAGGAGGATCCCTTGAGCCCAGGAGTTGGAGGTTGCAGTGAGCTACAATGATGCCACTGCACTGTAGCCCAGGCAACAGAGCGAGACTCTGTCTCAAAAAAAAAAAAGAATGACAATACCAAGTGTTGGTAAGGATGTGGAACAACGGGAACTATCATACATTGCTGGTGAGAGCACAAACTGGTACACTTCAGAAAACTGGCAGTATCTACTGTCTACTAAAGCTAAACACACACGTACCGAGTGTTCCAGCAATTCCAGTTCTGGATCAGCAGAAATAAGTGTTTATGTCCACTAAAAATATATTTAAGAATGTTCATAGGCGCTTTATGCACAAGAGGCAAAAACTAGAAAGAATAAATCCATCAACTATAGAATGAAACTGTAGTGTATTCATATAATACTAAGCAGCAATGAAAGAGAAACTACTGATATAACAATAACATGGATGAATCTCACAACGTTGAATAAAGAAGCCAAGCACAAGAGTACTTACTGTATGAGTCCATTTAAACAAAGGCCCCCCCAAAAAGCCCAGGCAAAAACTAATCTGAGAGCAGAAAGAACAAAGTTTACTTTTGGCAGGTGGCAGATATTGATGAGGGAAGTTTCTGGGATCCTAGACATTTCCTATCTTGATCCATCCAGGTAGTGGCTTCCCAGGTGTATGCATATATAAAAATTCACTGAGCTACAATTATGTTTGTGTACTTTACTGCATATAAATCATAACTCAGTAGAAAAGGGGGAAAAGTGACGATGTGAT